CCCCAAAACCCCAAAACCCCAAAACCCCAAAACCCCAAAAATAAAACTTTATCTTATAAATATGATTTTCCAAACGACTACTACTCAGGAGGAAGCTCCTGACCAAATCGGGATGTTTTCTCGGTCGGGTAAATATACCAGTACCAAACATCTATGTACTTCTATAAGTAACCTATAGCCTTTGTTACGCCGAAGAAGGTGGGGGGAGAGAGTGGAGGGGAACAGGGAGAGGAGATTATTCCAGAGTTGAGAAATAAGGTCTATGAGGAAGCGGTGAAGGAGCTTGGAGGGCAGAGGATGGCTGGGGAGAGTAGTTTTGGTATGAAAATTTTATCATTTTATTGTAGAGCGAAAAACTACTGAAACGTTTAAACAGGCTAAAGCATCACCTCTTTTGTTAGAAGATTCTTCTTTCAAAGCAATCTCAAGAATGCAGAGGCAAAAAATTCTTGACTCAAAAGATATTTCAGTTCCAGTGGGCCATTACAGACCAAATTTAAACTACAACCTCAAAACCAGACATACAGAGTAATTAATTTTTCTTTATATAAGTAGAATCTTAAAGCATCGTGAGAAAACCAAGGCTAAACCCAAAAAAATCTTTTTGTCAATGTGAGATAGAATTCTTCGATCTCTTCAGCACAAAGAGCCAGGAAGCAGAGGCAAAAGAAACACTAATCTACGAAGTAAATTAAAGAGATAAATTTCTAGGAAAACTTAACGAACTGAAGAAAGGAAGCAATAGAGAGAAAATAGGTTCTAGATTTTATAACTCCTTTGCAGAAGAAAGCTCTAAAGTTTGTTTTAATCTTTTAATTTTTAGTTTATCAGTTCTACAACCAATCCTCAATGGGCTGATGATATTTCTCCTGAGAGGAGACTCGCTAAACCAATGAATTTATCACTTGCTAAAAGACAGAGTTCAATAAAATTTGAATCTGACCTTTCTTTGATTAATGATGATATTTCTAATAGAAAATTATCGACGATGAAGACTCTCAAACCTGATGATGAAAAAAACAAACAAAACTCTAAGGAGCAAGAAGAAGGCTCTAGAGGGAACTCTCAAATTCCGAAAGGCAAATCTATACTAAAAATGCCAATAATTTATAACAAAAAGCTTGCAGATAAGCGTTTTTCTTATAAAAATTCTCTGGCTACTCACAAGGCTGCTTCTGATAAAGGTAAAGACATATAATCCCCTCTACATTTCTTGGTTATCCTTTCAGAAAATTGCATATTTTCTTTGAGGAAAGGAAAATAAATTATTTTTTACATAAAAACGCCAGATAGGATTTAGATGGATAGAGCAACCACTACCTCTATCTAGTGCCTAGCTCCGGGTCTTCAACCACAAAGGCGCTTACGCATGTATTAATGTCACTTACTTGTTCCTCGATATCATGATTTATAACTAAGACTCTTTAGAAAAATTATATCATATTATTAAGAAGAAAGACCATGAAGGAAATCTTGAGATTGTTCCTAGTTTTGAAGTGAAGAAAGAAGACAGAAAAAGTAAAATATAGTGTAACTTTAGAAATCAATGCAAATCATTCTTTTGCCAGTGCCATTGGTAGGGAGTAAGAGTTTGTGAGCATTGAATATAGAGAAGCGAACTATTTACAGCAGAAACTTCATCTTCATGAGGGAAGATTAGAAGTAAGAAATGACTATAATTTTGTTAGAAATTCGACCCAAAATATCAAACTCAAATCAAACAAGTTCCTTCTATGTATTTTGATAGGATGAAAGGCAGAAGTGAAGTTTTTGAATCTACAAGTATCACTCCTAACTGCTATGATTACTTCGATAGTACATTTAATCATCAGGTGAGGCTTAGTTCATTAATATGGCAGAAGCTTAACAAATCACTGAGTAGTATTACAGGAGATGTGGACTTTAAAAGGCAAAGCTATAGGAAACCATCAAAGTATTTTAGTATCTCTAAATTTAGCTCTATCTACAGACATAAAAGAGACCAATCTCCTGAGTTCTATAGCTATTCTTTAGATTCAGTCTCTCCTTCTACGAGAAGCTTGGATTGGAGGTATTTCCTGAAGAATTATTCTTTAGCAAACAATCATCAAGAGAGAAAAAGATTCAGAAGAGAAAAGAGAGAAAAGTATTGACTCTGTATTACACGACTGAAATGAGTCTGAAAGACCCCAAAAAATAAGATCAATAATATGTGGATTTGTTTCAATTTTAGTTGTACATCCAGGGGTTTTGGGGTTTTGGGGTTTTGGGGTTTTGGGG